CTTTGATTACAACTAAAAAATCAACTACACAGAATATAACAGAAAAAGTGGAAAATTAAATATTATGACAGAAGATTCAACTGATCAACAGTCATTGGAAAAGCCAGAAGAGGGACTGACAATATGGAAAAAGGAAAAGACTTTCTACATAAATCAGAAGGAACCTGAGGATCAAGAAGAAGAACAGACTGAAGAGAAGATAAACAGTTCAGGACAAGTACATCGAGATGGAAAAATAGAGAGATGATTTGTTAGTCCTCTCAAAAACATAGTGACCAGATGGTTTTTTCTATATCAAAAAATCTATATAACAACACAGGGAGATCTGTTTGATGACTCAAAAGCACGAACATGGAAGATGATTTGGCGAAGAAAGAAAGCCAGAATAAGACTGAAGAAAATTGGGGTTTTGACTTATTTGTGAGAATTAAAATAGAATATACTCAAATAGATAAGATGTATACTTTGAATACTAGATATTGTTATGAATTGAGATAAAGAAAATTTTGTTCATTTAAAACTTAGAAGTAATAAATATTAACAGTTAAATTTGAAGACTGATTTGCTTATAAAGGTTAAATGTAAAGGTTATATATATATATATATATATATATATATATATATATATATATATATATATATATGTTTTCTGAGGTTTTCGCGGGTGTTTGTATGTAGGTCTTTGGTTGTTCGGGTTTTCTCCCGCGTAAAATTGGAAGGGAAGTTGGTTGTTAGCTTCTGTTTCCATGGTGAACTGTATTTTGGGGTGTAGGCCCAGCGACCTACTCGTGAGCTTTGATGTCATATCCCTCTTCACCCAAGTGCCTATCAAAGAAGCCTTGACAGCTATCCAAAACAAATATAACCCCCCCAAACACATCTTAGATCTGACCAACCACTGCCTATCCAACACATACTTCATCTATAATGGACAAAAATACAAACAAACAGAAGGAGCACCCATGGGATCACCCCTCTCACCTGTCATTGCAACCTCTACATGGAACACTTTGAAACCCAAGCTCTAGAAAAATCGGATCACAAACCCAAACTCTGGCTCAGATACGTAGACGACACCTTCATAATCTGGCCACATGGGAAAGAAAAACTGGACAACTTCCTCACACACCTCAACAGCCTACACCCCAAAGTACAGTTCACCATGGAAACAGAAGCTAACAACCAACTTCCCTTCCTGGATGTCTTAGTCTACAAGAAATCCAATGGCTCCCTAGGACACACCATCTACCAGAAGAAAACACACACAAACCGCTATCTGCACGCTCTCTCACACCACCACCCAGCACAGATCAACTCTGTAGCCAAGACACTCATCTCCAGAACAAAACGCTTAGCTGACGAACAACACCTAAAAACCGAACTACACACTCTCACCAATGTACTAACATCCAATGGATTCCAAAGAAATAAGATTACAAACCTAATCCAAAAAGAAACCCCCACTAAAATCCAAGACGAAGAACAAGAAAACGGCAAAGCCCTCCTCCCATACATAAAAGGCACCACAGACAGAATCAGTAAGATCCTCCATAAACACAACATCAAAACAGCATTCTGCACAAACAGAAAAATATCCACCATCCTTAGAAACCCCAAAGATAAAATTGAATTAGAAAATCAAGGAGTATACGAAATCCCATGCACCACTTGTCCCACCACATACATCGGACAAACCAACAGAAGAATAAGTGCACGCATTGAAGAACATAAGAACTCAGTCAAAAAAGAGGAACCAACATCTTCCCTGGTCCAACACCTTAAAGCCACAGGACATGAAATTGACTTTAAAAATACCAGAACCATTGCCAAAAGTGAACATTTTAATAACAGAATAATCAGAGAAGCCATCGAGATAGAAAAACGCCCACACAGCATGAACAAGCGAGATGATACCTCCCGCCTACCAGCCATTTGGAAACCCGCCCTTATTGACAAACGACTCCCTAACACAAAAAATGATACCAGACCCACACTCACAAAAACCACACAGGATGTCACCACCACACATCCACGCAAAAAGCAAACCCAAAGCCACACCGATGATGAGGCACGACCACAAACCAGAAGCCAGACCAGAGCTGCATCATTAGCCACTTTAAAGCCCTCCAATCCATACATGAAGCAAACTGACACCCTCCATGAAAATGAGGCACGACCACAAACGCGAAGCCAAAAAATAGCAAGGCAGCCCAAAATCTTAAACCCCTCTGCAACTCAGACTAACCTGAGCACAACCAAACATAACACTCCCCCAGCCAATCAGAGCACAGCCAACCCCCCAGCCAATCAGAGCATAGCCAACCCCCCAGCCAATCAGAGCACAGCCACACCCCTAACCAATCAGAACACACCTCCACCCAATCAGAACACAGCCAAGCTCCCACCCAATCAGTTCATACCCCCCTCTGGCAGTTAAAAGGAAGAAACAGCTAAGACCACACATTGCTGCTCAAAGCACGAAGCTGAAAACACCAGCCTGAAGATGACGAATGGGACTTCGTCGAAACGTCGCCAAGACACTTCCAATTTTACGCGGGAGAAAACCCGAACAACCAAAGACCTACACACACACATATATATATATATATATATATATATATATATATATATATATATATATATATATATAAGCTAAAGATCTATCGATGAATGTAATAAAGAAGCCAATGTTTTTCTTTTCCTCTACATCTTTTCCTTTTCCCCTCCACCTCCATTTTCCAATTATTTTCATTTTTCTTGGTATTTCTGTATTTTATATTTTGATAAACTAATAAAAAATTTGAACTCCCAAAGGAAGAAGCCTTACCTCAGGTTGTTGTTGCTAAATGCAAAGCAGGTGTGGCTCACTTTCTCATCTATGATTTAGTGGAGGAAGAGCAGACATATCTTACACATATTACTGAGTGGCAAAGAAAAGGATTTTTGGATATTTGCCAGCCTGCGTTTCAGATGTTTTGGCAGCTTTGTGAAGGGTCAGGAGCTGCCCTGGCCAAGTGTGCATCAGCAGTGGGAGGAAGAAGATGGTGAAGGTCAGCTGGTTCAGGAAAGCCAAGAGAGCAGAGATGGGGGAAGATGGAGGGAAGGAGGGAGTTGAAGCACACACTACAGTCCTAAGTGTGAGTGGGCTGCCAAATGCTTGAATTTTGATCACATGACCACTGCAACAGCTGTAACTTCAAGGACTGGCTGGAACTACCATTGCTTTAGCACTGTCATAACTTCAGTCCCTGAGGAAATTTATTTATTTATTTATGAGACTTATATACCGCTTTAAGTGCAAGCACTCTCTAAGCGGTGTACACCAGTAAGCAATGTATATATATATTTACATTGCCCCCAACAATCTGGGTCCTCATTTTACCTACCCCGGAAGGATGGAAGGCTGAGTCAACCTTGAGCCGGTGAGATTTGAACTGCTGACCTGCTGAACACAGTCAGCTAAAGTGGCCTGCAGTACTGCACCCTAACTGCTGCGCCACCTCGGCTCGTATGAAATGGTTATTAAACAAGGAATATCGGTATAGATGATACCAAAGCCCAAATGAGCAGATGATTTTCACCCAACATTTCATCTAGATATGGAGGAGAAAATAGAAACCTGTAGCAAACCACAAAGAAGGGGCCTAAGGAGTGATGTCTCCCCCACTCCTCAAACAAAACCCATCGAAACCAGTCCTGGAATAAGTAAGAGAGCCATCACAAAATGTTACGCCAATCCCCAAGCCGTGGAGTCAGCTCAGGTTGACAGCAACAAAAGCCATTGATAGCTCAAAGAACCCAAGGATGGCTACACCACTTACATTCCAACTCTGCAGCAGATCATCCACAAGCCCAGTCACACATCTTAAAGCTGTGAAGGTTGAAAGTGACAGTGTAGCATTCTGTTCCTGCAGTAGCTAGACGGATATCTATGGCAGGAACCCCAAGCAGACAAGTGTGTACAGGCAGTCCTCGACTTATGACCACGACTGAGCCCAAATTTTCTGTTGCTAAGTGAGGCATTTGTTAAATGAGTTCTCCCCCATTCTACAACCTTTCTTGCCATAGTTGTTAAGTGAGTCACTGCAGTTTTTAAGTTAGTAACACAGTGGTTAAGTGAATCTGGCTTCCCCATTGACTTTACTTGTCAGAAGGTTGCAAAAGTGGATCATATGACCCAGGGACACTGCAGCCATCATAAATATGAGTCAGTTGCCAAGTATCTGAATTTTGATCATGTGATTATGGGGATGCTGCAACGGTCGTGTGAAAAATGTTCACAAGACACTTTTTTCAATGCTGTTGTAACTTCGAACAGTCACTAAATAAATGGTTATAACTCAAGGAATACCTATACCATATTCCACTTCTTGCCTTCTTCCCCATCACCTATTTTTAATCTCTGGAAGAGCAATTTGGTTCCTAGCTTTATGTCTTGTGGCAACCTTGTGCTGTAATGTGTCCACCACAGACTCTGGCTTAACATCTCATGCACTCACCTGCCTCAGCCGGATTTAGCTCACAAGACTGTTGGTAGAATAAATTGCATTTTCTTCCCATTTGCAAACCCCATCAGACGTTCTTAAGTGATGAGATCTGCTTGTCCACTGGGAGATCCAAAAAGGTGGCCAAAATCACCACCAAAGGTCTGTTTACGCAAGTGTTTAAAAAAAAGGTGGGTGGGGAGGGCTTGGATCGCTTGGTTTGGCCATTCTTTTTACCTTTATTTTTTCGACCCTCTTCCCCGAGACCTCCTTGAGGACTTCGGACCACTAATTCAAACCCAACCCCTACTTCATGGATCGCTTTAGGGCAGGGGTTCTCAACTTTGACAACTTTAAGACTCGTGGACTTCAACTCCCAGAATTCCTGAGCCAGCCATGCTAGCTCAGGAATTCTGGGAGTTGAAGTCTACAAGTCTTAAAAGTTGCCAAGGTTGAGAACCCCTGCTTTAGGGATAAACTTAGGACGGACCTCCACGTAAAACACCCCGGGAGCTTCCAAGAAAATGCACGCCGTCAGGAAATAAAACGAAACTCCTGGACCGAAAGCTGAAAGAACTGCGCCTGTGTTCTGTGCGCACAGCGCCAACGTCGGAACGATGACCCCCCCCCCCGAAGAGCTTCGGGGAGGCTTCCAAAGAAGCGACACTAGTGTCCGGATTATTCCTCTTCTCCCTGCCAACCCCTCCTTCCTTCTTCCACCGAAAGCCAATCCTCTGCTCGGACAACGCCGGGACAACCGTCGCAGTTTCGATTTCCTTGCAAGGCACGCCTTCTCCCTGACGTTTGGAAAGTCAAGCCGCCCCCTAAAGCGGATCGCAGAAGAGAAACCGCGCGTCGTTTTGGAGAATCTGCTCGGGTTTTTCCTTGGGCGATCAAGAGGCGAGGATCCTTCTTCACTCATGCCGGGCGCAGGGAAGAGACGCCCCGGAGGAGCCACTAGTTCCCCCGGAGGCTCGCTCTCGAGACCTACCCGCAGCTTCCAGAAGCCTGGGAAGAAAGTTGCCGAAAAGATGCGCGAGCGGAGAGCTGGAGCCGAAGGGAGCGACCGGTTGAGTTCTCCCGCTGTCTCCTCCCCGCCACTCAGGGCTCCGTTGCTCTTGTTCCCAAGGGTGGGGTACCACCACAGCATCTTCAAAGAGGACCCCGAAGCCATTCGCCAGATCAGCTGTAAGCAAGGTTACCTAGCGATGGCGCAGACACCGAACACCGTGCAACTTTTCTGCCGGGCGCAAGACGAACAGCATCAGCCAGCCCTCGTGCAAAATCGCAGTGAGTAGCCGCAGGCAAAAGCCCCTAAATCCTGATGGCCGCCAGGTGGCAGCAAAAAAAAGTTTAGGTAGTGTATAGCTCAGTGATGGCAAACCTTTTAGAGACCGAGTGCCCAAACTGCAACCCAAAATCCATTAATGCATGGTCAGGTGCTGGGTGGGTGTGGCCCATTGGGTGGGCGTGGCTATGGTGGTAACGGCAGACTGGGTGGGACTAAAAAGTTCAATCAATTCCAACTTTGCAAGATCTTTTTTTTTTCTGCAAGAAATTGAAATTGATTGATTGATTGAACCTTTTTTTTTTTTGTACACAGCGGTGGAGGCCTAAAGGCAAAAGGTTTTATAAAACCCAGCTGAAGACCTAGGACTGGGGTGATGGTGTGCGTGCCCATAGAGAGGGCTCTGAGTGCCGACTCTGGCACCCGTGCCATAGGTTCGCCACCACTGGTATAGCTAAATGTCTATGGAGATGCTAAGTCATCCAGGTCATATGGTAATTATCCCAAAGGTGCTTTTTTCACCAGGCAACTGGGCTGTCTTGTTGTTTTTTTTTTCCTTTGAAGATGTTTCGCTTCTCATCCAAAAAGCTTCAGCTCTGAAGAAGAAGCTTCTGGGTTTTTTTTCTTTGAAGACGTTTGGCTTCTCATCCAAGGAGCTACTTCAATTCTGAAGAAGAAGATTCGTGGATGAGAAGCGAAACATCTTCATAGAAAAAAACAAGAAAGTCCAGTTGCCTTGTGAAAAAGCACCTTTGGGACTGATGTACTGTACTGTAAATCTTTGGTGTTCCTCCTGGTAGTTGTCTAGTGCACTGGTTCTCAACCTTTTTAATGCCACGACCCCCAACCGGTCGTAAGTCGACTACTCAACTGGTCGTAAGTCGAGGATTACTCAACTGCTGCAGCACCATTTGCAGAATGGGACTTTTGGTGGGCTCAGCAGGGCAGAGACAGCCTGGACAATTCCTATTGGCTTTTGAAAGCCAATAGAATTAGACTCTATTCAAGAGAGTCTATTCTATTGGCTTTCAAAAGCCAATAGAATAAAAGGGAGTAGCACAACTAAGGAAAAGGGGAAAAAATGGCGGTCTGCATTGTTTGGCGACCCCCATGATATGGTCGTTCGACCCCAAATGGGGTCCCGACCCACAGGTTGAGAACCACTGGTTTAGTGGGTAAAGTTGAGAGAGTAACCGAGTCAGCTACCTGAATGAGTGATGCGTTGAACCTGGGTCTTTCAACACTCTAACCCAGGGGTCTCCTAGTCCAACACTAATCCATGGATCTTCAAATTGCACAACTTTAAGACTTGTGGACTTCAATTCTGGGGGGGGGGGTGAAGTCCACAACTCTTAGTCAAATTTGGAGCCCGTTGTATTAACCGCTCCAGCCTGTTTGCAGTCTTCCATTTTTTTTAAAATGACAAACCCTTCCAAAGGAACTTGCAAGTAGCTGAGTTTATTAGTGTGTTTTGTCTCCTAAACCAGAGGTCCCCAACCTTTTGGGCACCAGGGACCAGTTCTGTGGAGAAGGTTTTTCCGCAGACCGGAGGGTGCGTGGTTTTGTGGGCTGCCTGCATCGTGCAGATGGGACTTAGATTGTTTGTGCGGCCTCGTTGCTGGCATGCCGTGGTCCGGTATTGGTCCACGGACCGGAGGTTGGGGACCCATGGTCCTAAATGCTTCAGCATTCCTAGAAAACAGAAAAATAGGTAAAAGGTGAGGCTTTTTATTTGGCACCTTGGCTGATAAAAAAGAAAAGACATCCTGGAGTTAAACCTGGTGACTATATCCATGTTATTAAAAAATTGCTTCCTCCTGCGATATTTTTTTTCAGCTTCCCTATTTAGTCATAAGTTTCATTTTATTATTGTTGTTACAGCTTAGCAACTGACTCATATGTGTGACGGTTGCAGTGTCCCAGGGTCATGTGATCCTCTTTTGAGACTTCTGACAAGCAAAGTTAACGGGGAACTAAATTCACTTTAACAACCACCTTAACAACTGTAGTGATTCACTTAATGACTGTGGGAAGAAAGGTCGTAAAATGGGGGAAAAAAATCACTTAACAAATGTCTCAGTACACCCAGTTCTGCTTTAGGAAGTACATGCATCAAAAATATTTTTCATCATTCAGTATTTTCAATTATTAATGTATTAATAATTAATAATCACTATGCTATTAACTCTTAATAATATATTCACAATTAATTAATTCAATTATTAATTAAATATTTTTTTCTTTATTTAATTATTTTAATTGAGTGGCGTAGCGGGCTAGGTAGCGGCAGATGTTTCTCTCCTTGGGTGCAAAGAAAAAATATCTCCTGCAAACTCCGTGTGGCGTCAGGAAGGGCATCTGGCCAGTAAATACTCAGATCCATCCAGTCCCGATTCCACCCCGAATTAAGGGATTACAGGGTCTTAAAAGGGGAGTTTTTAATTTAATTATTTTAATTATTAGTCAAGGACTTCAAGGCATGACATTTCTGCTCTTTTGATATTGTTAACATCCACATAGATTCCAGTGTTTCTCAACCTTGACAATTTTAAGGCATGTGGACTTCAACTCCCAGAATTCCACAGCCAGCAATGCTGGCTGTGGAATTCTGGGAGTTGAAGTCCACATGCCTTAAAATTGTCAAGGTTGAGAAACACTGGGTTAGACTGAGCTGAGACATAGAATGGCCCCCAAATAATCAAGTGAAGTCCCTGAAATGTGATAACCTTTGCTTCTGTCTAACTCCCCTTCACAATGTCTCCAACCTTTAGGCCAGCAGAATTTCTAGTGTGGCTTGCAACATTTATAAATGTAGTACCAAATAAGATAATCATTAATGACAGTCATGGTGGACAGTCTCATGCTGTGTCTTGCAGGGAGCATCTGCTTAAAAGAGAAAATCAAGATAAATTCACTGGATTGTGAAGCATCTCACCTGCTTATTCTCTTATCAAATGGAAAACTTTCAGAGCATGATATTACAACCCAAACCCCACAAATAAGGTAGGAATTTTCTTATTATATATTAATGGTAAGGCAGTTGTCTTTTTTTTTAAGCCTGAGTGAACAAGGCTTATGGATAGAAGAATAATCACCATTCAGTCTGCTGATTCCATGAATTGTATGCAAAGAAAAGGATGCTTTTAAAAATAAGCTTGATAGCAGAATGTTTGTGGAGAACTCGGTCATCCAGGTCATGGTTGTCCCAAAGGTGCTTTTCAAAAGGCAGCTGGACTTTCTTGTTGTTGTTTTTTCCTTGAAAACATTTCGCTTCTCATTCCGGTTCTTCAATTCTGATAAAAGAATGCAAGATTAAAATAATAGGGTTACTTTTTTTTTCTGCAAGTTTCTGCTTTCCTTTTTGTTGAATGCAATTATTCACCTGAAAGGTTTCTTCCAAAAGAAAAGGAGTTACATTCTCACTATTTCAGGGCATATTTAAAAAACAGGACAATCACTTACCTGGAGGTGCCACAACATGTATTACCTTCTCTTCCTCATTCAAAGTTATTAATATAAATGTTCAAGAGCCTTTGGCCCAGAACTGAATATTGTAACAGTCCACTAGATATCTCTTTCAAATTGTTTATTTATTTTAGAATTGAATAGAATAGCATAGCATAGCATAGCATAGCATAGCATAGCATAGCATAGCATAGCATAGCATAGCATAGCATAGCATAGCATAGCATAGCACTGGAAGGGACCTTGGAGATGATAATAATAATAGTAATAGTAATGATGATGATGAAGATGATCTTCTTGTTGGAAAGGATCTTGGAGGTCATCTAGTCCAACCCCCTGCTCAGACAGGAAACCCCATACCATTTCAGACAAATGGCTGTCCAGTTTCTCCTTAAAACTTCCAGTATTGGAGCATTCACCGCTTCTGGAGGCAAGTTGTTCCACTGATTAATTGTTCTAACTGTCAGGAAATTTCTCCTTAGTTCTAGGTTGCTTCTCTCCTTGATTACTTTCCATTCATTGCTTCTTGTTCTGCCTCCAGGTGCTTTGGAGAATGGGTTGACTCCCTCTTTTTTGTGGTAAACCTTGAGATATTGGAACACTGCTATCATGTCACCCCTAGTACTTCTTTTCATTAAACTAGACAGTGCTTTTTTTGTAAAAAAAAAAAAAAAAAAAAGGTGCCAAAACTCACACGTCATACAACCCGCCTTGCCTACCCTACAAGGTTCCATCCAAAAAAGGTGCTGGAACTACGTTCTGGGCATTCTATGACAAAAAAAGCCTTGAAACTAGACATACCCAATTCCAGCAACCGTTCCTTATATGTTTTAGCCTCCAGTCCCCTAATCATCTTTGTTGCTCTTCTTTTACTTTTTCTAGAGTCTCAACATCTTTTTTACATCATGGTGACCAAAACTGGATGCAGTATTCCAGGTGTGGCCTTACTAAGGCATTGTAAAGTGGTGTCAACACTTCACATGATCTTGATTCTATCCCTCTGTTAATGCAGCCTAGCACTATGTTGGCTTTTTTGGCAGCTGCAGCAAACTGTTGGCTCATATTTAAGTGATTGTCCACTAGGACTCCGAGATCCCTCTCACAGTTATTACTATTGACCAAGGTATCACCTATACTATACCTGTGCATTTGGTTTTTCTTGCATGTGTATGCGCACGTAGCTCAACTTGTGCGAGCAGTGGGCCAGTAAACACTTGTGCATGTGTGTGCCGGCCTGCTGTTTATGCAAGCCAAGCTGTGTGTGTGTGCATGCAGACCCACCACTCACGCAAGGGCTGTGTATGTGTGCATGCGCCAGCTCGCCACTCAAACAACCCAGTTCTCCTTCCCCCCTCCCACTGGGTCGCTAAGCTGCAAAGGTTGTGGACTGCTGCCCTATACCATTTTAGAAAAATGCTTCTCCAATCTCTTCTTTAAAACCTCCAGTGGTGGAGCACCCACAATTTTTGGAGGCAAGCTGTTCCACTGGTTAATTGTTCTCACTGTCAGGAACTTTCTCCTTAGTTCATCCATTGCTTCTTGTCCTGCCTTCAGGTGCTTTGGAGAATAGATTGACTCCCCCCCCCTTAGATACAGGTAGTCCTCAACTTACAACCACAATTGAGCCCAAAATTTCTGTTGCCAAGTGAGACATTTGTTATGTGAATTTTGTCCCATTTTACAATTTTTTTTGACACAGTTGTTAAGTGAATCTCTGCAGTTGTTAAGTTAGTAACACAATTGTTAGGTGAATCTGATTTTCCCATGGACTTTGCTTGTCACAAGCTTGCAAAAAGACTCTAAAACACTGCAACCGTCATAAACATGAGACAGTTGCCAAGCATCCGAATTTTGATCATATGACCGTGGGGATGCTGCAATGGTAATAAGTATGAAAAACGGCATAAATCAATTTTTTCAATGCGGTTGTATCTTTGAATGGTCACTAAATGAACTGTTATAAGTCAAGGACTACACTGCCTTGCTGCTGATCATCCTCTTCTTCTCTTTTTGTCCTGGTTCTGACTGATGGAACCAAATAAATCAGAACTCCGAGGCTACAGATTTCCTCAAATCAAACATATTCTTTGAGGAAATCTCTAGCCTTGGAGTTCTGATTTATTTGGTTCAATCAGTCGGAACCATGACATTAAACCAAGTCTGAAAATCTCCCCCAAAGATTCCAAGTAATTAAAATTAATAATTCCATTCCCTCAACTATACTACTGATCACATTATCCAATGAAACTATTTGGCAGGCTGTTTAACAGATTGTTTTCCCTCCTTCTTCTTCGTGTGGGAATGACACGGGACCCAATCTGTATAGTCTAGCAAAATGGGCTCCCTTCTCCCTCCCTTTCATGTGGCAACTTAGAACGACAAAGATAGCTTCAGCCAGGTTCATTGAAGCTGACACTTTTCTTCTATCTTTCCCAGCATTAGGGCCTTCTCCAGAAACTGGACCTTCACATACAGCAGGGGTGTCAAACTGCCGGCCCGTGGGCAGGACGTATCATAGTGAAACCGTGCCCACCCCATTGCCGGCAATGGCAAAAAAGTCACGATACATCATGACACGTCATGTGACATTGCAAGTTTGACACCCCCTGACATACAGTAATGTGTCTGAAGTTTGAATCTGGTCATTTATGCCTCAAGTGAGAACTACTAGCAGAGTAATATGAAAATACAGAGCTATTTGTGAAGCACACATTTCAGTGACAGGTGTTTTTACACTTGACTTTCTTGTCTACTTCTTATATAAGAGGTATTGATAACTGAGCAACATGTATTTCTCTCTTTTTTTTTTTTGCAGACTACTGAAAGAATTAACAAACAAATACATTGTACAGATTGCATGTGGTGATCATCATTCCATGGCTCTTTCAAAAGGTACTGGTATTTGTGCATTTCTTTTAACAACTCTCTGATTTGCCTTTTATTTCAGTTGGAATGTGCACACCCCCAGCTAGCTTAAAATCAAGGAAAAGCTTCCATGTAGGCAGAATGGGATAGAAATACATATATAGATAAATATGGATAATTCTGTATTAACAGCTTCTTTTTGTGTGTTGTGCTCAGGAGGAGAACTCTTTGCCTGGGGTGAGAATGAACATGGGCAGCTTGGAGTGGAAAAGAAGATGGGTCACGTTAAGGAACCACAGCCGGTACTAGCACTGGAAGGCATTCCTTTGATTATGATTGCAGCTGGATCTGCTCACAGCATGGTTGTCTCTATATTTGGGACTGTTTACTCTTGGGGAAAAAATACGTTTGGACAACTGGGCCTTGGAGACACAGAAGGTGAGGAGAAATTCTGGGAATGGGGTGGAGGAGGCATTTGAGATACGCTCATTCTCATAGGAAATGGATCAACTAAGCTCATTGTTTCTGAGCTTGGTTGTTTTCTTGCAGACATTTCATTACCAAACTAGGTAATATCATCAGTGCATGATGATGATGAAACATCTGCAGGAGAACAACCAAGCTCATCAGAGAGCACTAAGGACCTTGCATCTTCTAGGACAGGGGTTTCCAACCGGGGTGTGAGACGATATTCCAGGGGGTGCGAAAACTTGGGTTCTCAAAATTATAGTGTATATGTATAATTAGTTGCCGTTATTTCGAACTTTTGTAAGGGGTGCCAGAATATATCAGAAGCATTCTAGGGGTACAGGGTATAGAAAAGGTTGAGAGCCACTGTTCTAGAAGAAGATGGTCCTGAGGATAATTTAGATCAACACATTTGGAAACCTCTGATTTGGTTTTCAAATATAAAATATAGGTAGTCCTTGCTCATTCATTTAGCGACCAAAGTTAACAATGGCACTAAAAAAGAAATTACTTACCAGTGGCCCTCACATTCTTGTGGAAAAATAAAGCCTTAAAAAGATAAAGGGCTTTTACGAAATTCCATGGGTGAAAGAGAGATCTTTATTTTTGCGCAAAAAGGTTCAGAAGTGATTTAACAATCAACAAATTTCTGAACAAGGGGGAGGGTCTAAACTAAAGCTTTATAGGTTTCTTTTTCTCAGGAACAAAGAAAGCATAGATGGAATCTTACATTGTATATGGAATCTACTTTGTGTAACATTCAGATAGTTTCTCACAGGTTAGGTCCATTTCTCATGGGAATACAATGAAGGCAGTTTTTACTTTTCTAAATATGCATTAGGTCATTCACGTACTGTTAATACAGCTTTTGGCTAACACAGCTTTCTTTCAGAGATTATGCAGACACATGATTTTTGCTTTTAGTGATTTTTCATTATTATTATTATTATACTTTATTTGTAAGGACCCACCCCACTTTGCATCTTAAGAAGACAGAACTCTTGGAATAGCTCTTCCAACAGGAATCCTTTATTAAGAGAAAATGGTTGCAGGCATGCTAGACAGGACTTGGGGTTCAAGCTCTCCCATTCAAGGTTTTAAGGGGTTCCCCAGTAGTCCCACCCAATCAACCCCCCTTCCAGTGATAGTTTCAAGTATCACAATTCCATCCCCTTTCTTCTTCCGTCTGGATGGAGACTTCAGATAACTACATGAAAGGCAATTACTCTTCTTTGATATGTTAACGCTTAGAGGCCACAATAAACACACATTCAGTCCTTTGAAGTGTGCTGAAGGAAGTGAGGGCCATAAAGCCCCTTGGCTCTCCCCCTTTTCTCCCTCTTATGGCAGAATCCAGAGAAGGCAGAATTGGGAGTTTCTATGTTTGATAATTAAAGATGAAATATAATTGGATTCTGACATCCGGCCCCTCTTAACAATAAGAGAGATCCACCTGAAAGAAAACACAAGTAAAGAAATTAGTTAGGCTTGTTAGGATACTCTGTGTGAAACTTCTTCAATAGCTTCGGGGCTCTGACGTGACGTTTATGGACCCACTCATTTTGTGAGGCAGGGAGGTGTTTCCAGGCAACTAGGTACTGAGTTGTTCCACGATATCTCATAGAGTCAAGGATCTCTTTTATTTCGAAGTGTTGTTCCCCCTCCACCATGATTGGAGGTGGTGGGGGGGGGGATTTTTGGCCGTAGAGGTGACTGATGCTCTCTTTTCAGCAAGCTGCAATGAAAAACTGGGTGTATTTGCCTGAGGTTTTTGGGTAATTATAATTCTACTGTTACTGGATTTATGATCCTTTTAATTGGAAAAGGTCCTATATATTTTGGTCCAAGTTTTTTACAGGGCTGTAGGGACTTTAGGTATTTTGTAGATAAGTACACCATTTCTCCTATAATGAAGGGTGTAGGCTCAACCCTTTTTTTATCGGCTTGTGCTTTGTATGCCCGCCTAGCTTCATCTAGTGATTTTCTGACTATTGGCCAGGTGTTTTGTAGGTTTTCCATCCATTCTTTCAGCGAAGGGATCGTTGGTTCTTTTGGGGTTAACTCTGGCATAAGGTTGAAACTTTGACCGTTGGCTATTTGAAAAGGAGTGTAGCCTGTGCTGGAGTGGACTGAATTATGTAGGCAACTTCCTTACAAAAGGAAGGAGTCCTCCAATCACTCTGTTGGAAATTTAAAAAACATCTCAAATATGCTCAAGTACCCACCCCGACTGGCAACGTCCGCTTAGTCCATCCCCTTGGAGGGTGGTGGCTAGATGTCTAATCCTGAGGGTCCCTTAAGGAGGGATAAAAATATCCTTCCAAAATGCAGAAGTAAAGTGCACTCCCCTATCAGAGATGATGCGTTGGGGTGCCCCGTGCAATATGTAAATGTGCTGGATAAAAAGTTTTGCTAAGGCCTTTGCAGTGGGAATTTTTTGGCAAGGGATAAAGTGCACCTGTTTGGAAAATAGGTCCGTGACTGTCCAGATAACAGTATTCCCATTGCTTTCAGGCAATTCCACTATAACATCCATGGCTATTTCCCTCCAGGGGGCTGAGGGACTTGCCACTGGTTGTAACAGCCCTTGCGATTTCCCTTGCAACCTCTTTGCTGATGCACAGGTTGGGCAGCTGGCAACATAACTTTCTATGTCCTTTTTTATTGATGGCCACAAAAATTGCCGTTTAATTAAGTGTAAAGTTTTTACAAATCCAAAATGCCCTGCTGATTTTGTGTCATGGCAAAGGTGCATGAAAGTTAGTCTTTGAGTTGTTGGTATATATAACTTTTCCCCTACCCAAGGCAATCCGTCTCTCATTGTGCACACGTTTGTTTTTCTGGAACCATTCATCTTTTTCCAAACTTTTTCTGAATTCAATCCCAGTTTGGCTGTCCAGTTGTGGTTTTATTTTGGCTTGGGTTCTTGTGGTTACTGGCGCTGCCAGTTGTGACTCTGCCATTATTGGTCTAGAGTCTGTGGTTCGTGCACTGTTATATTGGGGCATGCGAGATAGTGCATCTGCCAGGAAGTTCTTTCTTCCTGGTAAATGTTTGAGCTTAAATTGGAATTGGTGAAAATGCTGGGACCAGCGGGCTTGTTTGGGATTGAGTTTCCTGGAAGTTTTCAGGGCTTCTAAAATTTTGTGATCAGTCCATACCTGGAAGGGGATTTTGTTGCCTTCCAGGAACTGTCGCCACGTGAGTAATGCCCAACGTATCCCATAAGCCTCCTTCTCCCCTACGGGCCAGCGCTGTTCTGTTTCCGTGAGTTTCTTAGATGTATATGCACAGGGTTGCAATACTGCATCATCATTTCTTGTAAAGCAACAGCCCCCACTGCCCACATCACTTGCATCTGCCTGTATATGGACAGGGCGTTCCAGCGGGTTGCTAGTACGGTTCGGCGAAAAGAAGTCTATTTAGTCTCTCAAAGCTGCTTGGCACTCCATTGTCCATGTTTGGCTGGCTAGGTTTTTTACTGAGGAGCTATCCCGTCATTTTAGTAAAGTTAGTGAGGGGCAAGCTATCTGTGTTTCAAATGAGGGATGAATGGCGGTAAAATTTTGCAAAACCCAGGAAACTTTTGTAGTGCTTCTTGTGCGGGGTGGTGCCCAATTAGTACTTGCTTGACCTTCCGGGTCCAGTTCAATGCCCTAGTGGGGATATGCGATTAGCCTAGGTAGTCTATCTTCATGTGGAAGTCGCATTTTGAGAGGTTGGCAATAGGTGAGCGGCTCCAGCTTCCTTTAAAACCGACTCTGACAAGTTGACGTGTTCATTCTTTTGTTCAGTAAAGAAAGAATGTCGCAAGTAAACAAGGACCCCCTTAAACAGGTGCTCCCTTAGAACGTCATTGATTAATTGCATAAAGACTGCAGGGCCCCCTTGTAATCCAAATGGCAAGACTTTGAATTGATAGCACCCCATGGGCAGTTAAATGCAGTCTTCCATTCGTCCCCTTCCTTGATTCTCACGCGATAGTAAGCTTCCCTTAGGTCTAGTTTAGAAAAAATTTTCCCTTTCGATAGGTGTGACAGAATGTCTTTCATGAGGGGCAGAGGGTATAGGTTGCTTTCACTGATTGTATTCAGGGCCCTATAATCCACGCATAAACGTAAAGAGCCATCCTTCTTCTCTCTAAAAAGGACCGTGCAGCCACTTTAGGCTGCTGGCCAAGGAAACTCTCTCCAGATGTTTTTTTTTTAAAGTCTTTCAATCCTCCTCCCCTTTGCGCTCATGGAGTATAATCTGGGCTTCGGGAGTTTTGCCCCAGGCTTGAATTCAATGGTACAGTCTGTGGGTCGGTGGGGGGGAAGCTCATTTGCCTCTCCTCACTGAAGACTTCAGCAAGGTCCCTATATTCCTCTGGTATTTCTGTTAATCCTTTTTCCTCTCCTATGGATGCTTTTTCTATTCTTGATTCTGGTAGCCTCCCTTGGGGTTTTAAGTACATAGGGTCCCCCTTCGTGAATTTGATTTCTGTCGTCCTCCAATTTACCCAGGGGTTCCATTTTTTCAACCATTCCATCCCTAGAATCATTGGGCATTCCATACCTGGGGTCACCACAAACGTGAAGTCCTCTTCATGGTTGCCCAGGGAGAGGGGTCTTGGCAGAGTGGCTAGGGTAGCTGGCACCCCCCCCTGCTAGGAATCCATTTAGGATGGCCAAATGAGATTGGTGTTCCAGCCTCCGAGGATGGGATGCCCAGATTCACCATCGTGTTGGGCTAAGAGGCAGCGGGTGCAGCCAGAGTCTATAAGCTTTCACCTCACAGCTAGGAATGGGGGGAGTAAATAGTCACTGTTGAAGATGGGTGTGATGCATCCACTACCAGGGGTTCCCCCAAGCTGTCATCTCGAGGCATCCACCGTCCCTGTGGTGTCGGCTGGATTTCTTTCCCGTGGTGAGCAGAGGTGGGGGTTTCGCAATTCCATCATCCATGGCTGTTTCTTTTGGCTGAGCTGAATACTTTCCGGTTTTGTTGATTGGGGATCTGTCTGGGTTGTGCTGGGGGGCCTTTGAGCGGCATTCTACAGCTCGATGCCCTTCTCTTCCGCACTTAAAACACCCCATTTGCTTCTTGGCTGTATCCGATG